AATATTTTGTCAATAATAATTCAGTTCAAAAAAATTAAGTTGTATAAGTTTTATTTTGAATGTGAAAAATTAATTGTATACACCAGCTTAACTTATAACCTTTTAGGGAATTTTTGGCTCATTATTATTGACAAAATATTTCATAAGGCAGTACTATTTTTGAATTGTGTATATGTTTATTTGGATTGTATTGTACAAATTGTAGGTAGAAATTAATTTTTTCTGGTAGCAGCTTTGGGAAACTCTGAAATCTTAACAAAGTCCATATGAAACTTCAGTATTGTTTAATTTACTTTGAATTTTGGATTCACACTGTACCATTTCTTTATTTAATTTATAATATGAAAACATGAAATTTAAAAAAGAAACACTGACTGTAATAGTTTTGAAAATTAATCCTTGATTTTGTTGCAGTTAATTTTGTTAGCAATATTGTAAATGGGTTACTTATTTCTTTGGAACGCTGATGCTGAGATAGAAGTAATGAACAGTGAGTTTTGTTTGTATTACTTGTATGTTTTTCATTTTATTATAAGATCACGTCTCTAGAAAATTAAAAGATCGTGCCGTACTTTGATTTAATTTTTGACTTATGCTATACCAAGGTCCTCCTTGACTCATCTCTTTAATAATAACTAGCACCTGTAAGTATATTCCTTTTAAGTAGTTTTTCTTAACTAATCGAAAAAACAAGTTCACTGTCCTATAATATTTAAGGTTATTAAAAATCATTTGATAGGCAACTAGTACAACAGCTCTGTTCTGTTAGCTGCGTAGCATTAAGGTTTTAAAATCTTATTTTTTCATAAAAATTGTAAGGACAGTGACATATAGTAATCATGATAAAAACAAAGCAATGAATTTTTAATCGTGTGCCCAAAGATTGAGAAATTATCACTAACAAAACTTTTTAAAACTTGAAGTAACAGTTTAATACATTACCAATAACTGGGACACCCTGTATATAAACGTGGAATGTGAAAATATAAAGCATAAACCAATGTATTCACATGTAGAATATGCGGATGTGGTGGTTACATATGGACGGTGCAGTGGGAATGCACCGGCGGTATCACGCGAATACTCTTCATCATTGCCGGAGCAGTTGGGGCTTTCGGTAAGGTCACTACCCTTACGTTTATGTACTATATCAGTGAGTGGTGCGAAGTGGCTCATTCTACTTCTTTTTCATGTACTTTCTTTCTCCTTAATTTTTCTGGAGTACTGATCAGACATAGTGTATATAATATAGGGGATGGGGATACTGTTGCATACCTTAATCTAACCTACTCAGCAACACCTATGAGCAACACTAACTTAGGTTAGGTTAAGGTTTGCAACGGTGCCCCTTCCCCTGATATATATATATATATATACGATTCTACCTGTGAAGCCGGATAAGCTTCTAAAAGTATAGTATCAACCATATCTGCTACATCTTTAGGTTCCTTTTTGCAAGCTTCTATGTAATCATTAAACCATTTTTCTGGAACAATCTAAAATATTATTAAACTAACTTTTGTAACAAAAAATTAATAGGTGGAAATGCAATTACTCCTGTGACTTCATACACATCATTAATATTTATTTGCTCATTTTTTCCTCTGAGTCTAGAACAACTCTGTAAACATGTTATTGCTCTCCTCATGTCACCCCCCACAGCACTGACAACAACATTAAAAACATCTTCTTCACATAACACTCCTTCTTCCTTACAGNAGTTGTTTCGTAAAAAGCGACTGCTTTTAGTTAACGGCAAGATCAATAGTAAGTCATAGATGTAAGTTTTCATGATTAGGTCATTTTAAGCTATTTCTAACAAGAAAAATCCGTGATGCGGAAGTTTATCTTTCAATCTGTTCCCTTTTGCTCATTAATTACCATAAATAAGTTATTATGGACATGACAACCTTAATAACTGCTTTTGAGAATTATTTTACCATATATCCACATGTAGGCTTTTAAAGAGTTGTTTCTTAATAAGCTTTAATATCGTAATAAACTATTTCGAAACTAAGCATTGTATTGGTTCTGGCAAGTTGAAGAGTTTTTAATAAATTTTTGAGCTTGTGTTTAATGTGATATAATAGTAATTATAAAATATAGTACTATTGTATATACATTAATGGTCAGTTAATAACAAATCGCCTGCATCACTTCACAAGAAGCGAAAAAAAGTTTTTTAATGTAATTTAGATTAGATGGATACAAGCCAGAGAGTATGAGGATACCAACATTTAAACAATTTATTCAATAGGATAATTTATTAATCAGGTTTTATTTATGATAAATCCCCCTATTTTAAATGGAAGGTTGTTTTACTCATTAGTATTTGGTGTTATATTTTAAAAACGGTCTAGTTGCAGAAATAAACTTTAATGGCTGATGTCGCAACAATACATCAACAATTAAAAAATCATAATGGCCGACTTAGACAACAATACATCAACAATTAACAAATAATAATGGCCGACAGTAGCAACTATAATGTTGAAATAAAGATGATTGATTAATTATAGTATGTAGATGATTAATTGTAATACGTAGACTTAAATGTCAGGAAATTTTGTAGTAATCGCGGGTAACTAATTAACGTTAGATGTGTTAACTATAAATAAGCGAATTGCAGCACCGCAAAGTAAGTTCTGTTTTGAATAATTCAGTTCAAAAAAATTAAGTTGTATAAGTTTTATTTTGAATGTGAAAAATTAATTGTATACACCAGCTTAACTTATAACCTTTTAGGGAATTTTTGGCTCATTATTATTGACAAAATATTTCATAAGGCAGTACTATTTTTGAATTGTGTATATGTTTATTTGGATTGTATTGTACAAATTGTAGGTAGAAATTAATTTTTTCTGGTAGCAGCTTTGGGAAACTCTGAAATCTTAACAAAGTCCATATGAAACTTCAGTATTGTTTAATTTACTTTGAATTTTGGATTCACACTGTACCATTTCTTTATTTAATTTATAATATGAAAACATGAAATTTAAAAAAGAAACACTGACTGTAATAGTTTTGAAAATTAATCCTTGATTTTGTTGCAGTTAATTTTGTTAGCAATATTGTAAATGGGTTACTTATTTCTTTGGAACGCTGATGCTGAGATAGAAGTAATGAACAGTGAGTTTTGTTTGTATTACTTGTATGTTTTTCATTTTATTATAAGATCACGTCTCTAGAAAATTAAAAGATCGTGCCGTACTTTGATTTAATTTTTGACTTATGCTATACCAAGGTCCTCCTTGACTCATCTCTTTAATAATAACTAGCACCTGTAAGTATATTCCTTTTAAGTAGTTTTTCTTAACTAATCGAAAAAACAAGTTCACTGTCCTATAATATTTAAGGTTATTAAAAATCATTTGATAGGCAACTAGTACAACAGCTCTGTTCTGTTAGCTGCGTAGCATTAAGGTTTTAAAATCTTATTTTTTCATAAAAATTGTAAGGACAGTGACATATAGTAATCATGATAAAAACAAAGCAATGAATTTTTAATCGTGTGCCCAAAGATTGAGAAATTATCACTAACAAAACTTTTTAAAACTTGAAGTAACAGTTTAATACATTACCATAAATTATAAATCTTTCTATATGTTTAACTTGGTCAAGCATTTGAAATAAAAAATATAACAAATTATGTACTCTGCGTTTCTCTAATATATGTTTTTATTTAATTTTGCCCTTACATAATTTGATTCTTTAAAATTTTGTTCTTGATTTATTGTTAATGAAACTTTTTAGTGCTAAGTGTTTTATTTTTTCTTGGCAGTGCAATACTCCTTTATTAATTTGATCTTATATACTATTAGGTTGCATATATTTAGCTTTTAATTCATTATAACAGAATTGCAATGATTCAAAAGCAAAATATTGCTCCAATTTTTAAAATTAATAATATACTTTAATTTGAACTATTATAGGTACCAAATTTCATATAAAAACAGTTGTTATTTTAATAACGGTTTATTAAAACAAAGCAGTTTTTTTCCAGAGCATAGCGGTACCCCAAAGAACTGTAAAAAATATGTATAATATATTTATTTGATATCAACAAAGAATAGGATTTGACATTGTTTTATATATATAGTATACTGTATTATGTACGTTTTTTAGCAGGGAGGCAAAATGAATTATATCAGAATACTGTTTCATAATATTTTATTTTACAGGAACATAAAACTAGGGATGCTATGTATTATAAAACATCGGTTGTGTCGGTCCTTTTTCACTCTGGAAAGTAACAGTAACTGAAGTCCCGAAAAAAGCGTGAAGGTCATTTTTTGGATTGGGAACGGAGACAGGACTGTTAAAGGAAGGATTTATAACGTTGTGAAATGGATTGGTAAGTAAAGTATCAACTAAAAATAATAGAAAGTAGTGGAAATACTAGAAACCTCAATTTCTTAAACATTTGTAATATACTGTCAANTCCTGAAGTAGCTCTACCTATGGTCTTAAACAAAGCATGAAAGTGCCCTTTTTCTATTGGGAACGGAGACAGTTTGCTGAAGAAAGGATTTATGACAATGGTATGTAACAGTATCAATTAAAAATAGTAAATGAGATCCCAGAAACTTCAATTTGTTAGACATTTGTAACTTGCTTCAGTGGACAACTTTCAAACAACGTTTCAGAAGCAGAATTAATGTGGAAGGGATCTTTCCATAAGTGTATATGTTACTGATTTACTTCATTAAAAAATGGTAATTAATTACTTTTTCTTGTCTGTTTCTACAGATTGTCCAAATAACGAGAAGGAATTGCAGTTAATTTTGATGCTACTGAAACAACGGATGATTTTGACATCTTCAATGGGTGGCAATTGGAAATTAATAACAACAAATTGTCTGCAGTGGCATCTCTTCTAGATATGGTTTGCTCATCACACTAGTAGACTTTAGAACGCCACTTTCTACAATTAGTTAAGGTGAGAATAGATGACTTCATTAATATTAATTGCTCTTTATTAATCTGTTATGGAATTTCTGTTAACAATTGTCTATTGTCAACAATATAAATTGGGGTTACTGTGCGTCTATATTTCTTGACAGTTCTTGTTTTCCAAAGAACAAATTGACATTTATCATTGATCCATGGAGTTTCTTTTTAACCTTTTATCTATGTCATGATCTATGGTTGCGATGTAAAATGGCGTAAAAGTAACGCTTATCATTTTATAATTCAACTGTTTTATTTGCATTTTGGTGTGTTTTTAGTTGTGTTTCTCAATAATTAGTTTAATTAATATGTCTTTTTTTTGTCAATTTTTGCAGGTTATCCAACAAATGAGAGGAAGTTAATGTTCAGTTAGATAGATAATTGGTCTTCAAATACCACACGTTATTAACGAGGGTTGAATCTTACAATAGAGGACTGTGTCGACATTACACTTAAGGTAAGATTTTCAAACTTGTAAATTATAATTAATGATATTTTTTTTAATATAGACATGTGAATAAAATCGTTAAAACAGCTAATTTTATTAATAAGACGTTACATTTCAAATTTTCATTATTAATTTAGGCATGGTATTTATTGTAACTAAATTTCATATAAAAACAGTTGTTATTTTAATAACAGTTTATTAAAACGAAGCAGTTTGTTCCAGAGCATAGCAGTACCCCAAAGAACTAAAAATTATGTATAATATATTTATTTGATATTAACAAAGAATAGGATTTGACATTATTTTATGTATATAGTATATTGTATTATGTACGTCTTTTAGTAGGGAGGCAAAATGAATTGTATCAGAATACTGTTTCATAATATTTTATTTTACAGGAACATAAAATTAGTTATGCTATGTATTATGAAAAGTAGCAGTAACTGAAGTCCCGAAAAAAGCGTGAAGGTGCCTTTTTTGGATTGAGAACGGAGGCAGGATTGTTAAAGGAAGAATTTAAAAATTGCGAAATGGATTGGTAAGTAAAATATCAACTAAAAATAATAGAAAGTAGTGGAAATACTAGAAACCTCAATTTCATAACCATTTGTAATATACTGTCGAAAGATAGATTTTAAACAACGTTTTGTAAATGTCTGAAGCAGAACATCAAAATTAATGAGGAAAATCAAAAAATTACATATGTACTGTATGCTTTTGTCCTATTTTGGTACAAAATAACTACAAATTATAGGCTAATAACTTTATAAGATTCAAATTCTAAATAACTAAATTCGACAGATTTTAGCATTGTGTGTATTTAATTGCGCTCAAAGTTTTTTTATAAATAACAATAAGGTACTTCAAAAATGTTGTACTGCAATTACCAAGTTTCTTAGTTTCATTCGTTTAATGTTTAGAAAATTCAATTTCTTGTCCGTTTGATTGAATTTTACTGTACCACAGGAATGCGATAAGCCCACAAGTCAACGTAGTTGTACCTGAATGAAAGTGTCTTTTTTCTATTGGGAACGGAGACAGTGTGCTGAAGAAAGGATTTATGACAATGGTATGTAACAGTATCAATTAAAAATAATAAATGAGATCCCAGAAACTTCAATTTGTTAGACATTTGTAATTTGCTTCAGCAGACAACTTTCAAACAACGTTTCAGAAGCAGAACAGCAGAATTAATGTGGAAGGAAGGGATCTTTCCATGAGTGTGCATGTTACTGATTTACTTCATTAAAAATGGTAATTAATTCCTTTTTCTTGTCTGTTTCTACAGATTGTCCAAATAATGAGAAGGAATTGCAGTTTGCAGACGTCTTCAATGGGTGGCAATTGGAAATTAATTTGGAAGTCACAGAAACAACAAATTGTCTGCAGTGGCATCTCTCCTGGATATGATTTGCTCATCACACTAGTAGACTTTAGAACGCCACTTTCTACAATTAGTTAAGGTGAGAATAGATGCCTTCATTAATATTAATTGCTCTTTATTAATCTGTTATGGAATTTCTGTTAACAATTGTGTATCGTCAACAATATAAATTGAGGTTATTGTGCATCTATATTTCTTGGCAGTTTTTGTTTTCCACAGAACAAATTGATCTATGGAGTTTCTTTTTAACCTTTTTCTATTGTCTGCATCATAAATTGACGTCCTGTTATTTGACATTCGTCTATGTCATGATCTATGGTTGCGATGTAAAATGGCGTAAAAGTAACGCTTGTCATTTTATAATTTAGCTGTTTGATATGTTCTTAGTTGTATTTCTCAATAATTAGTTTAATTAATATGTGTTTTTGTCCATTTCTGCAGGTTATCTAACAAATGAGAAGAAGTTAAAGTTCAGTTCGGCCGTATTGAAACAACCATTGTCTACATGGGTGTGGTCTTTTGTGAACTATATTCTTGGTTTGCTGTTTTCGTCTTCGCTTTGCAGCATTATGCAGTTAGTTTTGACCTGATGAGTGAGAGCAACTGGATATTTATTTGAATTCCACTGAAATAACAAATTTTCTGAATTGGCATTCCTCCTGGATTTGGTTTGTTTTTCACACCTGCAAACTTTGGAACATTAGAGTCTACAGTTAATTAAGGTAGGAATACATTACATAATTAATTTTAATTGCTCTTTATTAATCTGTTACCACCGTATCTGTTTCAGATCGACGTTGGAGAATACAAAGATGACCCCGTAGTTAAAATAGTTCTCTATCTTGCATGTTCTCTCTAGTAGAATTCATTAAGTTGATTTTATTCAAATTAATTTTTTATTTTGCATGCTTATTTTTGTTCATTTTGTTTGAAGTAATTGTTGTAGTAGTAGCAGTAACTCTTTTAGTAGTTGTAGTGTAGTCTAACATGTCTCTTGCTTACCTCTTCGCTTAGCTTACTGCATATTCTTACTATAAATTGCTTTGCATTTACCCTACGTCTTCTACATGATTCAATGTTTCGTTATCGTGTGTCTTCCTTCTCACCCTTGTGGAACTAGGGAGGGCCTCCCCGAACGACTTCCCTTGGGCTTAGCTATTTAGTTGATCTTAAAAGTGTCTTATACACTTTTCGCGAGTCTACTCTAGCGTTACTTCCTTTCAGACNATAAATAACAGTAAGGTACTTTTAACATTATACTGCAATTACATAGTTTCTTAATTTGATTCGTTTAATGTTTAAAACATTGAACTTTTTGTCCATTTGGTCGAATTTTATTGTACCACAGGAATGCCATAAACCCACAAGTCAACATTTTCGTGAAGTTATGTATGTTTTTATAATAGTTTACAATTAGACTATTTTTGTTTTGTTGGTCGTGTTCTTTTTTTATTTTTGTCAATGTGTACTTTAAGTTCCCTAGACCTAAAGTGAACACATTTTCATTGAGACAAAGCGGGACAAATGTGATGAAATGAGAATTACAATTTAGTTATATATATTTTATTGTATACATTCATATACTTGTACAAAAATTTATTTATTATTAATTATTGGTAACTATAAATATATCTGTAAAAAAATAATAATTTGAACATCATTATTTTTAATCAAATTAAATTTTTTAATTAAAAAAAATATGATTCTCTTTACGGTCATATTTTTCACGAGTGAATACTTTGCAATAGATTCGGATCATTTATTAAAATGTCGAAATATTTCACATGAATTGGTCAAATTATATATTTTTACAGTACATTTAAAATAAGAAATGCAGATATTTTCTAAAAAGCGGGACATTTTTAAAAATCAGCGGGACGCAGGACAGCACGAAAAAGCGGGACTGTCCCGCCAAAATCGGGACGTGTGGTCACTTTATCTAAACCAAATAAATTGACGATAATAAGTAGAGTTTATTTAACTAGTCTGACAAATAAAAAGAGAAATGAGTCGTCATGCTGAACAGGTAGAAACGATCGAGAAATTAAAAATTCCAGTGGTGTAGTGTACCAAATTATATATAAGGAGGAGGATAATAATTGATTACAATTTTAATTTTTGTTTCTTTAAAATAAATGCACATTTAGGCGTCTATATAAATATTATTTTAAATGTGGATGACCACATTGTCGTGCTGCATATCCTCTTATCTGTGCCCATATGGAATTGAGGTTGCAGTGGTACGGAGATAATCCGACTGCACATAATTTGGTCTATGTCGCTTTACTAAAGATACCAGTTCCGCTTTAATGGCGTTATTGTGGAATGGTGTTCCTTTTTCTTGAAGCCATTGTTAAATTTCGGCCTTCNCCGTTCGGTTCTTGTCCATCTTGCCATTTTGTATTAAAAGCGACGCTACTCCGCCATTTTAAAATTTTGCAATTTAGCAATTTTACTTGCTTTTCGATGCGTGTTTTTATTGTATTTAAAGTTTTATTTATTTAATAGTATTGTGAATTAGTTTCGCTTCTTAATTTTTTACAGATCGATGATAAACGAGAGGCGGAGAGGACATGGAAGTTCGTTTTGATGCTAGCGTAAAAGAAGTTGTTCGATGTGATGTTCTTTCTATAAATAATTTTGCAGATAATTGAGGTGAGCATAAATACATGCTATAATTATTAGTGAGAGCATACAGTACATTTATTTTGTATTAGCTTTAACATTGTATTATGCACGTTATTTACTAGGGAAGCTAGATTATAATATTTTTTAATACTCATTCATAAAATTTCATTTCACAGGAACATTATAAAAATTCTGGATGCCATTAAGTTACAGACCGTTGGTTACATCAGTCCTCCTTCGTTTCAGGGAGTAGCTGTACCTATAGCCCAAGGGAATGCACGAAAGTGATTTTTTTTCCATTGAGAATGAAGACAGTATGTTTTTGCTGAAGGAAGGATTCATGACAATGAATTGGTAAGTACTAGTATCAATTAAAAACAGTAAATGAGGTCCAGTAACTTTAATTTCTTAGCCATTTGTTACTTTCAATAGACAACTTTCAAACAACGTTTCAGAAATGGCAGAAACAGAACAGCAAAAGTAATGTGGAACTGCTCTTTTCAACAGTTTGAATGAACTTTACCACCACATTGCTACTTGAAAATAATATTGATTTACTTGCTTTAAAGTGGTAATTAATTACTTTTTCTTGCCCGTTTCTATAGACTGCCCAACATATGAGAAGGGGGAGACTGCTGGAAATTAATTTGGAAACCGCTGAAACAATAGATTGCAGTGGCATCTCTCCTGGCTTTGGCTTGCTCGTTACACATTTAGACTTTAGAATATTAGTTTCTGCAATTAATTAAGGTGAGAATGCATAAGATAATTATTGTGAATTGCTCTTTATTAATCTGTTGTGGTATTTCTTTTAAAACTTGTCTATTCACAGTGTAAATTGTCGTTATCGTGAATGTATGGTATTCTCACGATTATCTATTGTCTGCAGTATAAATTGACGTTACGGCTACAGTGCATCTATGGTATCTCATTTAACAATTATCTATTGTCTACATCATAAATTGACGTTATGCATCTATGATTATTTCACATTTATCTATGTCATGATGTAAAGTGACGTTTCTCGCCATTTTATAATTCAATCTATTTTACTTGCTTTTTGGTGCGTGCTTTTAAGTGTGTTAAATCCCTTACTTAATTAACAGGGCGATTAATATGTTTTTAGCCCATTTCTACAGATATTCCAACAAATGAGAGAGAATAAAATTCAGTTTGGTTGTACTGAATCAGCCAATGTCTACAAGGGTGTTGTCTTTCGTGGGCTATATTCTTGATTTGCTGATTTCATCTCCGCTTTGCAACATTATGCAGTTAATTTTGGTCCTGAGAATGGGAGGCAATTGGAAATTAATTTGGAAGCCACTGAAACATCAAGTTGTCTGCAGTGCTATCCCTCCTAAATTCGGTTTGCTCATCATACTGGTAGACATTAGAACGCTACTTTCTGCAGTTGGTTAAGGTAAGAATACCTGACATAATTAAATATTAATTGCTGTTTGTTAATCTGTAATGGCATGTCTTTTAACAGTTAACTATATCAATTGACATTATGACGTATTTGTAGTATTGCTTTCAGGTACCTATTGTTCTCAGCATCTGTGATATTTCGTTTAACATGTATCTATTGTGTACAGCTTAAATTGACTTCGTCCATCCATGATTATTTCACATTTGTCTGTCATTATGCAAACTTGACGCTTGTCGCCATTTTATGATTCAGCTGTTTTACTTGCTTTTTGATGCCTGCTTTTAAGTGTGTTAGATCCCTTCCTTAATTAATAGGGTGATTAATATATTTTTTGTCCATTTCTACAGATATTCCAACAAATGAGAGAGAATAAGTTCAGTTTGGTTGTACTGAAACAGCCAAGGTCTACATGGGTGTGGTCTTCCGTGGATTATATTCTTCATTTGCTGATTTCGTCTTCGCCTTGCAACATTATGCAGTTAATTTTCAACCCATGAGTGAAAGCAACTGGATAGTTATTTGAATTCCACTGAAATAACATATTCTCTGCTATGGTATTCCTCCTGGAGTTGGTTTGCTTTTCACACTTGTAAACTTTGGAACGTTACGTTCTACAATTAATTAAGGTGATAATACTTGATATAATTAATTTTAATTGCTCTTTATTAATCTTTTATGGAATTTCTGTTAACAATTTTCTATTGTCAACAGTATAAATTGAGGTTTTTGCGCATCTCTATCTCTTGACAGTTTTTATTTTCCACAGAGTAAATTAACATTTATCATTGATTTATGGATTTTGTTTTTAACCTTCTATTGTCTGGATCGTATTGACGTCGTGTTATTTGACATTTATCTATTCCGTGATCGATGGTTGTGATGTAAAATGGCGTGAAGAACGCTTGTTATTTTATAATTCACTATTTTACTTGCTTTTTGGTGCGATTTTATTTGTGTTTAATGTTTCTTATTTATAAGTGTAATTAACATGTCATTTTGTTCTTTTCTGTAGGTTATGCAATAAGTGAGAGAGATTTAATGTTCAGTTTGGTGATACTGAATCAGCCAAGGTCTACATGGGTGTGGTCTTCCGTGGATTATATTCTTGATTTGCTGTTTCGTCTTTGTCTTGTAACAATCCAGTTAATTTTCAACCCATGAGTGAGAGCAACTGGATATTTATTTGAATTCCACCGAAATTACAAATTCTCTGCTATAGTATTCCTCCTGGAGTTGGTTTACTTTTTACAGCTGTAAACCTTGGAAGGTTACGTTCTATAATTAATTAAGGTGAGAATACTTGATATAATTAATTTTAATTGCTCTTTATTAATCTGTTTGCCACCGTATCTGTTTCAGATCGACGTTGGAGAAGACAAAGATGACCCAGTAGTTGAAATAGTTCTTTATCTTGCATGCTCTATCTAGTAGAATTCATTAAGTTCGTTTTATTCAAATTAATTTTTTATTTTGCATGTTTTTTTTGTTTTT